CAGCGGATCTTCCCGACCCTGGAATTGAACTGGGGTCTCCTGCATTGCAGGCAGAGTCTTTACCAACTGAGCTATCAGGGAAACCTTTGTGAAAGCTGCTCTCCATTTCTGGATGACATTTGATGACACACATCAGTAGAAAAAATTAGTTTTGTCCTCTTTTACTGAAAACTTGGTGACAAAGTCAGATTCTCTTCAGGTGTCTCTGGTGTGAAACTTCTTATAATTCTTTCCCCTAACACATACCACAACTTACTTATACAGATACTTCAGGGGGAAGGTCACGCCCTTACAAATATCTTACAGCCTTCTTCAGACCTCTTTCTTTCTCTGAATTTCTCCAGTTGCCCACCCCCTTGGCTCTCCCCTCTGCATTTTATCACCTTGAGTCCAACCATTGTGTCCTCTGGGACAGATTTTATCTGATTTATATTGATAAATGGATCAGTTGCTCATTCTGCATTTCCTCGTCACTTAACTCCACAAGCTCCTAGCCGAGATCCAGCCCTCCTCCGTGAGGCTCTGCAGCTTGCCCCCAACCTGTACCAGTGTCTGTCACCTGTCTACCAAAGACTTCTTTAACAAGACAAACTTCATCACACCCACACAAAATAAAGGCTCATTTTCCCCTTTTCCTTAAAGAGTGAATATTTATTGAGTGGGCTTCCCTGGTGGCTCAGACGGTGAAGAATCTGCCTGCAATGCAGGAGACCCAGGTTTGATCCCTGAGTTGGGAAGATCCCCTGGAGAATGAAACGGCAACCCACTCCAGTATTCTTGCCTGGAGAATCCCATGGACAGAGGAGTCTTGCAAACTATAGTCCTTGGGGTCAAAAGGAGTCAGACACAAATGGGTGACTGACAACAGCAACATTTATTGAGTCAGTTCAGTTCAGTCGCTCAGTCGTGTCTGACTCTTTGTGACCCATGAACTGCAGCACGCCAGGCCTCCCTGTCCATCACCAGCTCCCGGAGTCCACTCAAACTCATGTCCATTGAGTTGGTAATGCCATCCAACCATCTTATCCTCTGTCGTCCCCTTCTCCTCCTGCTCTCAATCTTTCCCAGCATCAGGGTCTTTTCGAATGAGTCAGCTCTTTGCATCAGGTGGCCAAAGTATTAGAGTTTCAGCGTCAACATCAGTCCTCCCAATGAATACCCAGGACTGATCTCCTTTAGGATGGACTGGTTTGATCTCCTTGCAGTCCAAAGGACTCTCAAGAGTCTGCTCCAACACCACAGTTCAAAAGCATCAATTCTTCGGTGCTCAGCTTTCTTTATAGTCCAACTCTCACATCCATACGTGACCAATGGAAAAATCATAGCCTTGACTAGATGGACCTTTGTTGACAAAGAAATGTCTCTGCTTTTTAATATGCTATCTAAGTTGGTCATAACTTTCCTTCCAAGGAGTAAGCATCTTTTAATTTCATGACTGCAATCACCATCTGCACTGATTTTGGAGCCCAGAAAAATAAAGTCAGGCCACTGTTTCCCCATCTATTTGCCATGAAGTGATGGGACTGGATGCCATGATCTTAGTTTTCTGAATGTTGAGCTTTAAGCCAACCTTTTCACTCTCCTCTTTCACTTTCATCAAGAGGCTCTTTAGTTCTTCACTTTATGCCATATGGGTGGTGTCATCTGCATATCTGAGGTTATTGATATTTCTCCCAGCAATCTTGTTTCCTGCTTGTGCTTCCTCCAGCCCAGCATTTCTCATGATGTACTCTGCATATAAGTTAAATAAGCAGGGTGAAAATATACAGCCTTGACTGCTTATTTTTTTTAACCATATAATTATATTTTATTTAATTTTCAAGTTGGAAATCATCATGAATATTCAGGTTTTTCACTGTACATTTTAGTATAGTGTAATTATTGTGGCAAAAGATTATGTGTGAAATGCGTATAGGTTATAAAACACTGTATTATATTTTGTGAACACTCATTACATGCTACTCAGTTCAAGAATCACATGATACCAGTAGCTTATACCTGCCTATAGCATTTCTCCATCATATCATTTCTCCCCAGATGAAACCACTTTCTTGAATTTTGTGTTTATCATTCCATTGTTTGTAACAACAATTTTGTCTATTGCTTTTTTGAGTTATAAAATACCACACTTGATATTCTGGCATTTGCTTTTTTTCACTCAACATTATGTTTCTGAGTGTCACATGTTGTTCTATTTGTCTGTAATTCATTCATTTGCAATACTGTATAATATTCTGCTGTCAGAATAAACTCATTGGAATAGTTCCCAGTTTTGGGGAACAATGCTCTTTTTTTGGGGGGGGAACAATGCTCTTTTGAATATTCTTCTACTTGTCTCCAGTTGTTATGTTAAGGAGCTGTGGGTCAGAGTACTTTTGCTCTACAAAGCAAAGTCCAAAGGAATTTACTTGTGGCAGGAGACCCAGCCACAAGCAATAAATAAGATAAGCCAATAAAAAATATGCTCAGAAGAAAACTAAACCAGAGTCACAGGACAGCCTGCTGGGCATTGGCCAGGCCTTTCCCAGACCTTAGTAAAAACAATAATTGTTGTCTTCATGTTTATCAAACACCTCAACCTCTCACTCCTTTGGGAACATTTGTGGATGAGCTGAGATGGTTGATCTATACTATCTGCTTCTGCCAACTAACCATCAGTGGAAAGAGTAATAATTAACCAAGATAGGTAATCCTTGTAATGTGCATAGTGCAGAGTTGGGTACATAAGACATAGTAAATAAGGGGCAGTCGGAAAAAATGGGAAGGAGTGGGGAGTTGCCATTGGCAAAGGCCATCTCGTTTGCTCTAATTTTAGTTTAATCTCTATGTTACTTGTACTTTCTTCAGGTAGCCCATAGCTTTATGAACAAGTGACAATTGGAACTGAGAAGCTGCTCCAGATAAGGACCTTAGTTGAAAGTGCTAGGGTAAATACGTGGCATGGTTTAGAGAGGAATGCAGGCTGAACTTGACAGTAACTTGTACCTCTCACTTTCCTTCCTGGGTCTCCTTCTCACTGAAGGATCTTGCTCATCACCTGACATACAAGCAAACCTGTATCCAAGGTTTTTAATCTGAACAGCTGGAACATAAGAGTTGCCATGTGCTGGTATAGGGAAATCTGCAAAGGAAGTAAGTTTTGACATTCAAAGGTAATATCAGAAGCCATTATTAGACTTAAACTTGAGATGACTATTAAGCATTCAAATGGAGGTGTTATGTGTACCCCAGTGTTCATCGCAGCACTGTTTATAATAGCCAGGACATGGAAGCAACCTGGATGCCCATCAGCAGACAAATGGATAAGGAAGCTGTGGTACATATACACCATGGAATATTACTCAGCCATTAAAAAGAATTCATTTGAATCAGTTCTAATGAGATGGATGAAACTGGAGCCCATTATACAGAGCGAAGTAAGCCANTCCTCCATCCATGGGATTTTCCATTCAAGAGTACTAGAGTGGGGTGCCATTGCCTTCTCCAGGTGTTAATGTTACTTGCATTCAAATGGAAATGCAAGTATGGGTGAGCAGTCTGGTTACCACTGAAGTTATACATTTAGGGGTTCTCAGTGCACAAAGTCCTTAAAGTCAAGAGATTAGGTAATGTCATCAAATGAGTAAGTGTGGACACCAAAGAGAAGAGGGCCAAGAGCTGAATATGAGGACACTCTTCTTGGATGATGTCAGAGTCTCTTCACTCCCCTGTTTCAGTGTGTGACCACTCTCCATCCCTACTTCTAAAAGGTCACCTTTTCTCAGCATCGAGTGACTCAGATTATGTAATGTTATTGTCTTGGAAGAAAAGCTATGGCAAACCTAGATAGCATATTAAAAGGCAGAGACATCACTTTGCCAACAAAGGTCCATATTGTCAAAGCTATGATTTTTTCAGTAGTCATGTATGGATGTGAGATTTGGACCATAAAGAAGGCTGAGAGGCGAAGAACTGATGCTTTTGAATGGTGGAGTAGGAGAAGACTCTTGAGAATCTCTTGGACTGCAAGGAGATCAAACCAGTCAATTCTAAAGGAAATCAACCCTGAATATTCACTGAAAGAACTGATGCTGAAGCTGAGGCTCCATTATTTTGGTCACCTGATGAGAAGAGCTGATTCCCTGGAAAAGACCCTAATGCTGGGAAAGACTGAGGGCAGGAGGAGAAGGGGATGACAGAGAATGAGACGGTTGGATGGCATCATCGACTCAATGGACATGAGTCTGAGCAAACTCCAGGAGACAGTGAGGGACAGGGAAGCCTGGCGTGCTGCAGTCCATGGGGTCACAAAGAGTCAGACACAACTGAATGACTGAACAACAACGACAATTATCTGAGTGCCTTTGGTGGCTTCCTCTCACTTGAGTAAAGTCCAAACTCCTCACCAGGAGTATTTGGCTCCTCCACATGCCTCCATCTTACTTTATTCTTTCCTTTTGTTCTGTACACACCAGATCCGCTGTGTAGTGCTATTTATTCCTCAAATACATGCATCTTTCTCATTTCAGGTCACTTGTACTAGCTGTTCTCTCAGCCTGAAGGGGGAAACCTATGTAGGGCTTTCTCCTTTCCACTCAAATTTCAGCTCAAAATACCACCTCTTCACAGAATTTTTTTCTGTCACTCCACAGCACTTTTTTATGGCACTGATATATGACATTATCTTACTTATTTGCATATTGACTCTGAATCTCAGCTCCCCCAGCAGTGACTGGCCGTGTTTACTATTCTCTATTCCCAAGGCCTCAAACAGCGATTCCCACCTGGTAGGCAGTCAATAGATAGTTGTTAATTAAGTGAATGAATGACTTTTAGAATTTTGCATAGTTTTTAGTATCTATTTTAGCTTCCAGATTTAGGGAGGAAATGCTGGGCTGCCATTTTTCTTTGTCCAGGCTTTATCTTTATGTTCACCTTTGACTTCTTCAACACTCCCCTGCCTCACAAAAGCCCAATAGTGCTATAAGGATATTAGAAAGAATATCTTATTCCAAAGCCTATGAATCAGAGGATTGTGTAAAGAAGTTACTCTAATCTGAACGCCTCGACACAGTGGCTCATTGGAATGTTCCCAGTGACTCCAGAAGGGGACTGACGCTTCTGCAGAACAGCCACACTCACCTTGAAGGCTGTGAGGGACTGGACCAGGTCTGAAACAGCATCGGCCGTGCTGCCATCATGGGGGAGTTTCTGGAGCAGTTCTTCATCTTCGTAGGGCTGCTGGTTTGCCTGTTCTACCTGATGAAATGCGTGAGATTCTCTAAATGTATTTTCCTGCACTTCTGGAAAGTTTTGCCAAGATCTTTCTTAAAGTCAATGGGAGAGTGGGCAGGTAAAGAAAGCTTTCCATCTTTTGTTTTTTTGTTGTTGTTCTTGTTATCACTTAGGTCTCAATGATAAATTGCATCTTTTCCTTTTGAGAGCAAAGATGTAATTCTTTTGGGTTAATTTGCGGGGTTGGAAAGGACAAATGCAATTGACTGCAAGACGTGATGTGCGGCATCAGGAGAGTCATTCAAGAAGGATGTGACTCAGTTCTTGCCTGCATGCTTTTCCTCTCATCCTCACTAGCTGGGCTTTCTTATTTTTGGGGTTTCTGATGATACAAATCATGGATGAGGCAGAAAATTATGTATCCTCCTCCCCAGATTTTCAAAAACCCTGAGTGCTTTCATTTTCTTAAACGGAACTTCAAAATTCTGAAATCCAATAATAATTTAAATACATTTTATTGTAATAATTTCTCAGAGACCTTTCACGAAGTGAGGGTAATGCAAAATCAAGGCAATAAAGATCTCTGTGGAGACATGTTTTTAAATGGTTATATTCAGAATCTGGATCTGGTTTATGTCCCAAGTAGATTGATTAATCACTGTCTCTCAATAGGATTTAGCTCCTGAAACTGCCTTGCAGAATTTCAGCTCTATACTGAGTTTAAGGTGCAGAACATGAGGCTATGGTTTCAGCATCTCCTTGAATGAAGTGCTAGGTTTGCATTTCAAAGTTGGTATTATGTGCTGGTGTCAGTCTATGAATAACCAATGCTGTGACCTGGCCAGCCCTTGTGGGTCTTACTATGATTGCAAAATGCCTTTCGGCACCATCAGGAAACTTAAGGAAAAATAAAGGCTTATTACTTACAGGGCCTGTAAATTATATAGCACACCTGGTTCCACAACAAGGTCGTGTGTATAAAGAGAGGGAGAGAGTGAATGGGTCTGGGGTTCTGCTTTTATTTTATTCTGGTGTGGGGGCCTAGGGTTTCAAGAACTTTTTCTTTAATGGTGAATTTAAAACATAAGAGAGGGAATTTAAAGTGCAGGAAGAGAAAAAACAAGTGGTCAAAATGGTCAGTTATTGAAACGAACCAAGGTTTTTAAAAGATAGATGCTTGTTCCTTGGAAAAAAAGCTATGACAAACCTAGACAGTGTATTAAAAAGCAGAGACATCACTTTTTTTTTTTTTTTACACAAAGGTCCATATAGTCAAAGCTATGGTTTTTCTAGTAGTCATGTACAGATATGAGAGTTGGACTATAAAGAAGGCTGAGTGCTGAAGAATTGATACTTTTGAATTGTGGTGCTAGAGAAGACTCTTGAGAGTCCCTTGGACAGCAAGGAGATCAAATTAGTCAATCCTAAAGAATCAACCCTGAAGTTTCATTGGAAGGACTGATGCTGAAGCTCCAATACTTTGGGCACCTGATGTGAAAAGCTGACTCATTGGAAAAGACCCTGATGCTGGGAAAGACTGAGGGCAAGAGGAGAAGGGGGTGGCAGAGGGTGAGATAGCATCACCGACTCAATGGACATGAGTTTGAGCAAACTCTGGGAGATGGTGAAGAACAGGGAAGCCTGATGTGCTGCAGTTTTGTGGGGTCTCAAGGAATTGGACACAACTTAGCAACTGAAGAACAAATTTTTTTTAAAAAGAGACCTCATCTGGGGGAGGTTGCCTGGCCCTTTACGTTATCCTATGGCCAACATAACTTTTATTAGCAATCCCCATCTTTAAAGTAGATGCCTCTTTGAAATTGATGCCTAACTGGCAATCAAAGCGTAAGCTAAGCACTTGCATTACGAAAAGGAAAAAAACAAAACCAAAACCCAACTGTCAGGTTTTAGGCTACAGTGGGGTAGTAAGAAATCCAGTGACCTTAAAAAAAAAAGAATTTAAGAGGCTTTAGGAATACAATCCCATGCTAAATAGGAGAGATTGTAAACAACCTTATAGGAATGCCAGATAAAATACAGGATACTCAAGTTATATTTGAATTTCTTATTTAGTGATAAATAAATAATTTTTAATATATGACACTCCAGTTATTACGTGGGATATTCCTATACTAAAAAAAAATTGTTGTTTATCTGAAATTCAAAGTTAACTGGGCATCCTGTGTCCTTATTTGCAAAAGCTGGCAACCTTATACCCTCAGCATTGGAAATGAAAAAAATATCATATAAAAATTGTTTGGCATGAAAAAATGTGTTTTTAACTGTTGCATGTTATATCTGGAGAGAGAGAGAGAGAGAGAGAGAGAATATGTATGTGTGAGAACTCCTTCCTCTCAGGTCAGTAGGAAGTTCCCAATGTACTTGCTGAGCAGTCTGAACTTGAGTGCTCTGGATCCAAAAGTTTGGCTCCACACAGATTTAAATGCCATTCTCTGAGGGGTTAGAACTCGGACCTTCTAGGAACAAGCATTCCAAAAGAAGTTCGTATGCAGCCATATGTGGCTGATTTCCTAATTTTGTCACTGGTATCCTCTGTAGAGGTGTGGGGCCAAGATCAGAGCCTGGGTTCAGATCCTGCTGCCATCATCTTTAGCACTGCAGCCTTGATTGGGTTAAGAACTTTCCCTTAGCTTCCTCATTTATAAGGGACAAGATGGTCCCCACATTACAGGCTTGTTTTGAATGTTAGATGAGATGGTGGCTGTGGGGCTGCCCAGCCACATGCGCTTTCTGTGTTTCTGTGAGCCTGACAAGGAAGAGCTTTATTCGACCCACGATGCCTGTTCCACCTTCTCCCTAAATTCAAACAGCCTCATCTGTCACCCTCACCCCCAACTCCCGTGAAGAAGCTGCTAGTGGGAGCCCAGGTAGCTGTGTAGTGTCAGAGCCCAGACCTAATTTAACCTGTGTCCCAGGGCCGATCTGGGACTGCTACGCACAGGAGCGGGAGGGGAGGCAGCCAGGAACCTCAGAAGCCAGCCGCCTCCTCGCTTCTGCCTCCTGTCCGTCTCATGCTGTGTAAAGCTGCTGTGTAATTTAGCTGGTAAATAATTAGGCCTGAGTGAATAACAAACAAACCCCCCAAATAAAGTGCATGGCAGAAAGTAAGCACTCGGAAGATGCCAGCCACTTAGTGACTGTATCTTGACTATATAGTTCAGGCCTGGTACTCGGTGATTTGGAGGATGCCTGTAAAGAAGGGGAAGATGAAGCAGAAGACCACGCAACCCTGAGCATAGTACCTCTACCAAGCAAAACAGGTCATATGCATGGAGTCACTTAAAAGTATCCAAATAAACACGTAAAATAATTGGTAATGATTAAAATGAGGGTGCTTCTGCCAGCGTGCTGCTTGAAGTTTGTTTAGCTTGGTCCGCTCTCCCTCTCAAGTAAACTAAATGCACACACAGGTTTCATACACAATTTTGGAAAGCATATCCTTCAATTGTTGCTGCAAAGGTAAATTGCAGATAGGTATATACTGAATTGTAGTTTATTTTGAAACTATGACATTCACACAATTGAGTTTTACTCTAGAGCTCAGTCATTAAATATGTATCTGCTCTTATATGGTGGAAAATTACTCAGTTATAAAAAGAAAAAATCTGAGTCAGTTGCAGTGAGGTAGATGAACCCAGAGCATGTTAACACAGAGTGAAGTAAGTCAGAAAGAGAAAAATACCGTATATTAACACATATATATGGCATCTAGAAAAATGGTACTGATGAACCTATTTGCATGGAAGGAATGGAGATGCATATGTAGAGAATGGACTTGTGGACACAGTGAGGGAAGGAGAGGGTGGCAAGAATTGCAAAAAGTAGAATTCACATATATACACTATTATGTGTAAAATGGATAGCTAGTGGGGAGCTGCTATATAACACAGGGAGCCGAGCCTGGTGCTCTGTGATGACCTAGAGGGGTGGGATGGGGGCAGGGAATATATAATTATGACCAATTTCCATTGTTATATAGCAGAAACCAACACAACACTGTAAAGCAATATTCTTCCAATTAAAAAATTTTTTTAAATCTATGTGCTATGGACTATAAAAGGACTAGATGGCACATCTCACAATCATCTATTAATCAGTTGATCTAGTGAGCACAAATTCTTTAGGTTCCTTCATGTCACTCCATCCTCTTTTTGCATTTCTGTATTTTCCTCCTTGTTAAAAGTTCTCTATCTTCCATGGGTTTTGATTTCTGCTGTCCTATGAGGGTGAGGATAGGAAATGGGGAGAATTTGACTTTCACTAGGAACCTTGAAACATCCTTACAGTGACAACTGGGTGTGTGGGTAGAGAGATAATAGAGTACACTGCTTGTCCTTGATGAATTAAGGCTTAGAACTGTAAACCCTTATGGGGTCTGAATAAAATGTTCTCTGGCTGAAGCACTTTGTTTCATTTTGGACCATATTTTCCGCAGCCTCACCAACTCTTCCCCCCAACCCCATCAAAAAAAAAAGCTTCATTTTGAAGTTTAGTGAAGGAAGTCAAGGCTGGAACATTCACAGGTGAGCAAAGTTGGTCACAGTTGAGCAGAGTTGGGTTAGAAAGTAGGAGGGCATTGATTTGGAATATTATATTGTATCTTAGAGAGTAGGCCTGCAGTCAAATGTAGCCAGCAAGAAAGAAGATCTTAAAGATTAATTAATTCTATCCTTTAAAACCATTTCTGCTTTTTTTCAGTGATCACTGGAGCAGGAGATGGGATTGGGAAAGCTTACTCATTTGAGGTAGGTTGTTTTCTTGAAGACTTTCTCCTTGCCTCGTATTAAATACACCATGGTCGTGTGGCACCACAAACACTACTGTTCTGATTATAAAAGCAATAGACATTCCTTTACAAAGAAAACTATTTTCTATTGAAAAGGAAATTTAAAAATCATAATCTCACCCCCTGGCTACCTTAAAAAAATACAATGATATTCAAAGGTGGCAGTACCTCTCCTTAGGAGTTGTTTTAGGAATTTATGGGGGCACTGTTATTTTCTAGGGTAATTGTACCATAAGCATTTATTATACTTAAAACAATAAAAAATGATAAACTACTTTCCTTGTGTTTATCCTTTACATCATAGCCAGGGCACATGTTAATTTAAAAATCATTTGTGTAGATAGCATAGATATATAAAACTTTCATTTCAAGAAGATTAATGAGCATTAAAAAATAATATAAAGAGAGAAGCTGATAGGGTTGAGGGTCACTGGTGTGTGATGTCTTTGAGTGTTTCCTTCTAGGCTTTTTGTTTCTCTGTAGATAGATAGCAGGTAGTTAAGCTTTTCTAAAAATGCCTTTACAGGATATGTAGTTTGGTAAGCTATTATTGGGTTTCCCGTGTGGTGCAGTGGTAAAGAATCTGCCTGCCAATTCAGGAGACACAGCAGACGTGGGTTTGATCCCAGGGACGATACTCTGGAGTAGGAAATAGCAACCCACTCTAGTATTCTTGCCTGGAAAATTCCTTAGACAGAGGAGTCTGACAGCTACAGTCAATGCGGATCACAAAAATTCGGACACGACTTAGCGACTAGGCAGTGGTCTAGGGGTCAGGAGCTATGTATTCTAGTCCTCACTCAGTCTGCAAATTTTGGACAAATTATATATCCTTTCTGGGCTTCCAGGTCTTTACTAGCCCAAAAGATACCAGCTAAGAACTTTCAAATTCTGTTTCTGTTCTAGACGAATTCTGGCTTTGCTCTTGTAGAATCTTATTCTTTGTATCCTTTCATTCTTTTCTAAGGCTGTGCTAAACAATTTTCTGGGATCTTTCTTTCATGCAAGATTTTCTCTCTTCCAGAGAAACTGTTCTTGTCTCCCTGCTAACTGCTGCTTCAAGGAAAGCAGTTCAGAGTCTGGAATACTATGGACTGTAATAGTTAAGAATTTGAGGTTGAAAATTAATTAGATCCCTGTCTGTTCAAACTCTGCCTTCAATATGCTTACTGCAGAATTTCCACATCAATAAACTGGAGGAGATGATAATTCCATCTAGGCTTTTGTAAAAGTTAAATGGATGAAGTGGGCAAAATGCTTCGCATAAAATAAGCTCTCCAAGTTTAGCCGCTATTATTATTGGATGTATAAGCTGCCTTTTCTGTCCCATATTTTGCTTTTTTGGGGGGAAAGAATATGTGTGGTACTTACCCATATTTTTACTCTTTTTATTGTTCTTTCTTCTTCTTTTTTTTGTTCTTTCTTCTCCCCTGATGTTCCAAGATTTTTTTCTTTTCCAATTTCCTATCTGTTTAGAGAAGTTCCTGTAGCTGTTCTTTTATAGTAGTTCTGCTGGTGGCACATTCTCATTGTTTTTCTTCATCAGAGAATGTCTCAATTTCCCCTTCATTCCAGAAGGATAATTTTACTGAATACAGGATTTATATTTGACAATCCTTTCCTTTCAGCACTTGGGAAATGTTGTGCCACTTTCTTCTGGCCTCTATGGTTTCTGGTGAGCCTCATGTCATTCAAATAATTTTTCTCATTGGTAAAGTGTTGTTTCTCTTTCATTGCCTTCATTTTTTTGTGTGTTCAATTTTCAGGAGTTTAGTTATGTTTCTTGGTGTGGATTTATTTGAGTTTATCTTCTTCGAGATTCACTTAGCCTCTAGAATCTGTAAGTTTATACATTTTCACAGATTTGAGAATTTTTCATTCATACTTTCTGCAAGTATTCCTTCTGCCTTCTTCTCTTCTGGGACTCTGGTGACACAAATGTGAGACTTTTCTTGTAGTACTTCCTTGTAGGTCTCTGAGATGCTATGCGTTTTTTTCAGCGTATTTTTTCTCTGTTTAGGTTGCAGTTTAGTTGCTCAGTCATGTCTGAGTCTTGTGACCCCACATACTATAGCCTGCCAGTCTTCTCTGTCCATGGGATTCTCCAGGCAAGAATACTGGAGTGGGTTGCCATTTCCTTCTCCACTGTTTAGATTGGATAATCCCTATTGTTTTATCTTTAAGTTCATGGATTCTTTCCTTGGTCTCTCCATTCTGCTATTGGCCCATCATTTGAGTTTTTAATTTCACATTCTGTACTTTTCAGTTCTAAAATTTCCATTTGATTTTTTTTTATATCTTCTATTTATTTGCTAAACCATTCTATTTTTCTTTTGTTTTACTTGGGTTTGTGATTGCTCTCTAAAGTGTTGTTATGGTAGCTTTTTAAAAATTCTAATCAGATAATTCTAATATCTATGTCATCTCAATGTTGGTATTTGTTGATTGCTTTTATCTTACTCAAACCGAGATCTTCTTGGTTCTTGGCAGGTTGAGTTTTGTTTTGTTTTGTTTTTAATTGAATCTTGGATATTTTTGGTTTTAAGTTGTGAGACTCTGGATCATATTTAAATTTTCCTATTTAGGTGTATATGGACATTGCTTCAGCAGGGGGAGGGGAGGGTGCTGACATTTTTCTATAAGGTGAGGTAGGAGCCCAGGTTTTCCACTTGGCCTCCACTGGGGGTTGCTGGATATGGGTAGGAGTTCTGGCTCCTCACAGGCCACTCTGGATTTTGGAGGGAAAGAGTGCATCCTTACTGCTCTCCACAAGTGGTACTTGGAGGCAGTGGTCTCACTGTTACTGTAGTGATGGTATAAGTCCTGAATCTCCACTAGGCTTCCTCGGTCATCATCAAGGAAGAGGGGAGAGAGCTGAGGGGTGCTCTGGCACTGTCAGATAGAAGTGGAAGCTCAAGTCTCAGATGACATGAGGGGTGGGATGGCTGGGATGAAAGTCCTGGTATCCTGCTCAGCCTTATCTGATGCCAACCTGGCAGGGGTTGGAATCCTTGTTAGAGCGGTCTCCCCAGGGTGGAAGTGTCAGCTGCCCCCTCAACCTTTGGAGGCGAGGGTAGCAGTAAAAGCTTATATGTATATATGTGTGTATATATATATATATGTGTGTGTATGTGTGTGTGTATATATATATATTTGAGTCGTTTGCCTGCAGTAAAGCAGTTATTTTCTAAACCGAGCCTTGCTAGGGTACCCCTTTTCTAGTCCTTTTGTTAGAGACAGCAGACTCTTGTTGGGACTTCTTATGTCTGTATCTGTTGGTGTTTCTGAATATCCAGCTTCTCCAGCAATAAGTCTGGGATATATGAGACAAAAATAAAACCCAGGAAACCATGGCTTGTTTCCATCAGGTCTCAAGGCCCATAGCTACTCTTACTCTCTTTTGGAGTCTTCTTATATTTAGTTTATGTATTATGTCCACGTTGCCTGTTTTAGTTGCATTTCCTGGTAGAAATAGGGAAAAGTATTTTCACTCCATCTTTCTAGAAGCCTATTCTATATTGCATTTTAACCTAGTCTGTATTTATAATTAGAGATGCAAGAGAGACTTTGTCTCCTTTTAAAGGAATGTCAACCATTACTGGAAGCAGGTGAAAAAAGTGTTTGAGAGGGATGGCATGGAGGAAGGAGGACAAGAAGGAGCCTGCTCTTCACACTTCTGAAGCCTCTCCTTCACTCTATATTTCACACCATTTCTGTTCCTTTGGCGCCTGAATTCAAGCTTTTCTATTTACTGCCTCCCAGAAGAAGCGCTGTCTTCCCTGGCGTTCCCGCCACCTTTTATAGATTAGCGGTGACTGGCACCTTCCTTGATCCAGGCCCTAACACACAGCAGAAGGAAAATGGCCTATTCATCATAGCAGCAGCCATTCTTCTTTAGCACAGTGCCCAGCAGGGAATTCTGGGAGAGTGAGTGCTTCTGGGGCTTAACTCCCTGAAGCAGGGAAGTGGTAAAACCCATGTATGGAGCCTGTCAGCCTGGACATTCTAGAAATAAGATTGAGCCCTGCTCAAATGGACAAAGGGAACAATGCTGGTCCAGACAATCAAGTGTTCACCATGCCCTCCTCCTGGCTCTGACCACTTCACATGGAACCTTTAAAAAGTCTATGGCTCTTAAAACAAATGGCATGATTCAGGAGAGGCTGAAAGCTCACAGGCAGAGAGTCCTTTGTACTGGAAATGCAAATTGTTTTCCATTTAATGGACAGTTTCCTTTTCAGGAGGCTGATGAAGTGAATTGTGAGACCAAGGTGCTAAATTTTTAGCCATACTTTGCTAGATGCCCAGACTGAAAATGAGGGCTGGTGGAGGTGGGAGGTGGGGGATTTTCCAAGAGANCAGGGAAGTGGTAAAACCCATGTATGGAGCCTGTCAGCCTGGACATTCTAGAAATAAGATTGAGCCCTGCTCAAATGGACAAAGGGAACAATGCTGGTCCAGACAATCAAGTGTTCACCATGCCCTCCTCCTGGCTCTGACCACTTCACATGGAACCTTTAAAAAGTCTATGGCTCTTAAAACAAATGGCATGATTCAGGAGAGGCTGAAAGCTCACAGGCAGAGAGTCCTTTGTACTGGAAATGCAAATTGTTTTCCATTTAATGGACAGTTTCCTTTTCAGGAGGCTGATGAAGTGAATTGTGAGACCAAGGTGCTAAATTTTTAGCCATACTTTGCTAGATGCCCAGACTGAAAATGAGGGCTGGTGGGGGTGGGAGGTGGGGGATTTTCCAAGAGAGAAAGAGAAGACTTCATGATATTACTAGCCTTAAAATTGGACAGTTCTTATTTTTAATTTTTTTTATCTTTTAATTTTCTATTTATTTTGAAAGTTTTAAAATAGACTTAAGTTTTTCAAGCAGTTCTAGACTGACCATAGAATCTTGCAGAGGGTGCAGCTAGTTCACATATACCCTCTGTCCCCATAGACACTCCAGA